ACCATAGCACGGGAACCCTGATGCGGAGAACTACTCGAAGCTCGAGGGCAATACCTAGCAATGTGCCTCGTGTTGCCATAAGTAAAACAAGCCCTCGGCTGCTGGGGCTGAAGACCCTGGAAACTTTGAAGCGGTGGTGCACTGATAGGTATTGGTGGTGTACTGATAGGTACTGGTGGTGTATTGTAGGACTGCTGATCAGAATACTGCATCTGAGGACCACGGCTACCTAAAGCACCGTGAGAAACCTAAAGTGTTGTCTGGAAGGCCTAGGGGGTGGCCTCTACCATATGAGTGTCTACCTCCAGACGAGGTACCACTAAATCTGCCTGAATGATGAGTCCTCTTATCAGACCCATGACCACCTCCATGTGACAGAACCATCTCCACTCTCCTGGCCATATTGGCTGCCTCCTGAAAAGTAATCTCACTCCCAGCCTCCCTAGCTATCTAAAAATGAATCGGCTGAATAAGATAATCAATAAACCTTCTCACCCTCTCTCTCTCTCGGTAGGAAATATGACAAGAGCATGTCGAGCCAAGTCGATGAATCTGGTCTCAGACTGGGTAACCGTCATGAAACCCTGCTAGAGACGCACAAACTGCCTCCGATAGGCCTTTCTCTAAGTAATGGGGAGAAACTTCTCCAGAAATAGCTATGTGAACTGCTCTCAAGTCAAGGCTGGCGATTCAGCTGGTCTAGCTAAGTAATAATCCCTTCACCATGTCTTGGTGGATCCAGACAAGCGAAACGTAGCAAAAGCGACTCCATTGGTCTCAACAATACCCATGTTCCTCAGAACCTCGTGGCAACTGTCTAGGTATTCCTGGGGATCCTCAGTAGATGCACTGCTGAAAGTAGAAGTGAAGAGCTTGGTGAACCTATCCAGTCTCCACAAAGTATCGGCAGACATAGCCGCTCCATTTTCGGTCTAAGCTACCATACCCGGCTGAACTGCTCCAACTAGCTGAACCGCTAGAGTCTGAATCTGGGGAGCTACCTGCTCCGGAGTGCTAGTAGCAGGAGTCTGGGTCCCTCATCCAGCCTGAGAGATGGCTGGTGCTACAGGAAGCAAGCCTGCTCGGGTGACACTCTCCATGAGGCCCACTAATCGGACCAGAGCATCCTAAAGAACTGGGGTAGCAATAAATCCCTCTGGGACCTGAGCTGGGCCCACCGGAACTACTGGGGCCGGAACCTCCTCATCAAACTCAACCTGAGGCTCCGTTACTGGTGCTGCTGCTCGGGGCTGAGCTCTGCCCCTACCTCAGCCTCTAGTACGGCCTCGGCCTCTCCCTCTGCCCCTTGTGGAAGCTGCTGTTGGGGGCTTGGGCTGCTGGCGGTGGAGGAGGAAGTGTGTGTTCTCGCCATCTGTGAAGGAACAGAGTAGAAATTCAATTAGCATTGAGAAACAAACCGCACAACAAGAAAGAACGAATGTGAAGTTTTTTCTAACCATGTAGCCTCTAAGGGATAAATACAGACGTCTCCGTACCGATTCCTCAAACTCTACTAATCTTGTCCGTGAATTGTGAGACCTATGTAACCTAGAGCTTTGATACCAACTTGTCACGACCCGTATTTCCCACCCTCGGGAGTCGTGATGGCGCCTACTCATAGAAGCTAGGCAAGCCACGAAATTTAGAAAATTCTTTACTTCTTTGTTTTAATCCTTTTAACAACTTGCTTTAACAGGTGATAAACATTTAAATAATAGCAGAATATGAGATTAAGCAGAAGACATAAACGAAATAAACCAAAATAATACGGAAATCAACATATGCCTCTATCTAGAAACTGGTGTCACAACATTCACGGACTATCTAAGATTACTACATACAAACGTTTGAAAGAAGGAACACTGTCTATCTCGGATACAATGATAATAGAACAAAATAACTGATAGAAGAGACGCCGAGCCTGCGAACGCCTGCAGGACTACCTCGGAATCTCGGTAGACTGAAGACTGGCTCCCAAGCTACTGCTGCTCCAGTATCTGCACATAAGTGGAGAGTGTAGCATCAGCACAACCGACCCCATGTGCTGGTAAGTGCCTGGCCTAACCCCGGCGAGATAGTGACGATGCTAGGACCAGACTCCAGATAAACCTGTGCAGTTATATGATATACAACGGAACGTAAAGCAGGAATAAACAAGTAATGATAGGAGGGAAAAACATGCTTCGGGGAATAGCAGGTAAAACAACCTGATCCTATGTCCTGTATCTCGTGGAAGGTGTGTCACCCGCTCCCATTTCATTTATCTCGTGGTAGGCGTACCACCTGTTCCCACTTCATTATATCTTGTGGTAGGCATACCACCCGCTCCCATTTAATTATATCTTGTGGTAGGCGTACCACCCGCTCCCATTTTATTATATCTTGTGGTAGGCGTACCACCCACTCCCATGTACAAGCCA